AAGTGCGGTCGTGAACGCATCGCTCCTTGGCTGCCCGCCTGCACTGTGGGCAGAATGGCAACCCTTCACTTAAAAAAATGTTTGTATTGATCTCAGAGAGGAAGGGAGAGGGAGAGAGAGAAACACCGATGATGAGAGAGAATCATAGATCCGCTGCCTCCTGCACACCCGCCACCGGGGTCAAGCCCAAAACCCGGGCATGAGCCCTGACCGGGAATCTAACCGTGACCTCCTGGTTCATAGGTCAATGCTCACCCTCTGAGCCATGCCGGTCAGGCAGCCCTTCATTTGGAAGCAGAGTTTCACACGACTTAGATACTGTGACCTGATGTACAGCGTCTAGAATCTCAAAAATGCGTTCGAGGGAGCAGCATGCAAGAGGAAGGTGAAAGGAAGTTGGGAAGAAAGCTACAGGGTTAGGGGAAAATCCAGGCGGCGTGGCTGCTCCCTGGCAGAGTGGAGTCCAGCTCATACCGCCGACCTTGCCTCCACCCTCTCCCCGGACCTGAGCTTGATGGGAAGGTGAGCCTGTGTCTCCGAGGGGTGTTGCCAAGGCCTGGCTGCAGCCCTGGGAGGGCAGATCCCAGGGGCGGGCGATGGGACTCGGAGAACGAGGCGGCCCTTGAAGCAGCACCTGTGGCAGAACAGTCGGGATTTCTCCACGACAAGGCGCTGGTTAACTCATCTTCAAGCCTAAGGCCTCCGCTTGGCTCTGGCGCAGGGCCTTGCTCTGTGACCCCTCCCCTGGGAGCTGCTGGTGGCTGCTCCCCACGGACCACAGGCGTGGCATCCGCCTCCCGCTGCTCTCTCCCTCCTGCCACTCAGAGGTCCTGGCTGCTCTGAGGGCTCCGGGGAGCCGCTAAGCCCAGGGAGTTGGAGGGGAGGCACCGGGGGCCCAGGCCCGACACAGAGGGCGGCGCCCCCCCACCCCCCCGCCACGCGGGCCTCATCTCCGGACCCGGAAAGCACTGTGTTCTGCGCCTTCGTGGGATGGGGCTGCTTTACCTCTGCTCCTCCGAGTGCTGCTCCCGGCTGGCGGGTGTGGCCGCTCCCTGCGCAGAGGATTCCAGAAACCCGCAGAAAGCAGCGCCGCGTAAGGTTTCCTGTTGAACAGTTCCTGTTGAACACGTTCCCCACTTTGCCGGGACACCTCACATGGAGGCAAGGGGAAGTCTGGGGGCCTCTTCCTGATGAAACTGCCCAGATGAGGCTCCCGGGCCCGGCTGTCTCACCTGCGCTCTTCCGGGTCCCCCCTGCCACCGTCCCTCACGGACCCAGCGCCAGGCTCGGGGACGGACAGCACAGAGGTCTGGGGAGCGTGGGGAAATGAGGTCGGAGGGCAGAGCTGCCCAGGGCGTGGGTGTTGGGATCTCCAGGACTTGGCTTTTGGCTTGTTCCGCTCCGTGTGGCCTGATAACAGTCTCCACGTCAGGGCTCAGTCGTGGGCTTGTGACCAGGCCGCCTGGCCGAGGCTCCAGGCAGGCTCCGCGCGCCCTCCTCTCCACCAGGCGCCTGCCTGGCTGCCACGCTCAGCTTCACCAAAGAACCGAAGGCAGTTTAAGGACCCCTCCCGCTCGCTCGTGCCATCTGCTTGTGTCTCGCCCCACCTTTCACAGCCAACCACGCGGCGGCCGTAAGTGGGAAGCGCTACCCTGACCTGTAGCCAGCTTCCTCTGTGGCTCCCCCCCCTCCCCCGTCCGTCTGGCTGCCCGGTGACTCGCCCCGGACGTCTTGCTGTGTGGAGTCCGGTGCAGCCTCTCTCCCTATTGCAATCGCCTCAGTAAAGTCCTCCTCGCCCTCCCTAGTGAGCGTGAGAGCGATTCTTTCTGTAACACCTACAGCTCAATACACGATGATGCTGCAAGATCAATGCCAGAGGCAGGAGGAAACCCAGATGGGCCAGGGAAAGGCAGGGCCAGAGTGAGAGAATGCGCGCAGGAACCCGAGGAGCCGACGGCAGCGGGCCCCCACCCGACGCCTGCAGCATCGCGTTTGCTCAGCCAGGAACCAGCAGCCGGGAAACGGGGGAACCTGACCCCTGGTAGAGGGTCCAGTGAGGCTCTGCAGGCCCCCGCCCGCCAAGCTGCCCCCTTCTGCCCGGGCACCCCTTCTGAAGCTGCCCCCTTCTGCCCGGGCACCCCTTCTGAAGCTGCCCCCTTCTGCCCGGGCACCCCTTCTCAAGTTGCAGTGTCTCCCAGTCCCCCCTCCCCTCCTGCCGCCAACAGAGAAAAGAGCCTCTTGCCACCCAGGGCGTCTTTGCCAGTCTCAAAAGGGGCAAGAAGGGCCTGGACACAGGGCACAATAGGGAACTGACCACCCCTCTGATCTGTCATAGTCTCATGGTACCAACCCACAAGCCAGGGTGGTACACACAAGGCCACCACGCCTCCCTGTGGGAAGAAAACGCAGACCCAGTGTTCCCTGAGCAGCTGCTCCGTCCAGCACCTCCCGTGGCCACGGTCACGCTCTCCCGCCTTGGAGCGGGAGCTTGTGGGTTAGGAGTTAGGAGCAGAACTGGAGCCACTGATCAGAGAGCCCTGCAGTGGGCCTGACCCCGCTGCTCCTCAGACACTGATCGGAATCGCGTGTTTAATTAACCTCCGCTGAGTGTGCTGGGTGAGGGGGCAGAATGTTCTAGCAGCGGGGGACTCACACGTGTATTCAAGGCTCTTCTAGAACTCTCTGCCAGACCCGCCCCCAGTCCTGCCCCTATCTCCTCCCAAGGGAGTGTGGCCGGACTCACAGGCAGCATTTATTTCCACCTTTCTCATGGTCATGGTAGGACTTCCTGCTTGTACACGGGTCTCGACTCACGGAAATGCCCCAGGACAGTGGCAGCCCTCCACGTGGGTCCCGGCAGCCGGCGGGCAGGGCGGCTGGTCTCCCTCAGTAACACCTGGCTCACCGCACTCTTGATGCTGCTCTGTGTTTGCCTGTGCCGGGCCAGGGTCCCCTTCCCTTCGGGAGGCGGCCCCTGCACCCTGGACCAGAGTGGGGCCACGGGGTCCCAGCGAGCGTGGCCACAGAGCCACACGCGGCCATCACTTGCCCTCCGACGAGCTGGCCTTCAATCTCTCCAGGCGGGAAGGCGCACCTGGCTGCACCGCTCAGATGCCACGAAGATCAAGAAAAGTAAACGATTTTGTGCACCTGCCTCCCTCCAGCTAGAAAGAGATCTTGCTATTATCTCTGGGCTTTTTCTATCGAAATCCACCACTAAACATCAAAGGCCGCCAAGTTTCGCGGGGAAGGCAGATCTGCAGCTTCCTCTCTCCCACGCGCCTCCCGAAGTGAACCGTCACCGAGATAAAGCCACAAAAGCTCCTCTAAGAACGCAATTACTTCAAAAGCGAACAGAAGGCAATTATGACAAAACAGAAGTGAGTTTGGGTTCAGCGTCTGACAAATCAGCTCCGAGATGACAACACGGGCGTTCCCAGTGCCAGAGAGCCGTGCCGTGCCGCGCACCACGGTCGCCTTTAAAACACACACGTTTTTATTGATTTTAGAGAGAGAGGAAGGGGGAGGGAGAGAGAGAAATGTCAATGATGAGAATCATTGACCTGCTGCCTCCTGCACGCCCCCTACTGGGGATCAAGCCCACAACCCAGGCCTGTGCTCTGACTGGAATCGAACAGTGATCTCCTGGTTCATGGGCCGATGTTCAACCACTGAACCACACCGGCCAGGCACCATGGTAGTCTTAATATAAAAGAGGATGTGCAGTAATTGGCTAGCTGACCCCAAGTCCACCAAGAAATAACGACGCTGCTCACAGCTCTGAAAGGTCCTGCGGAGCCCGTGCCCTCAGCTCGCGCTAAGAATGTGGGTCACAGAGGAGACTCAGTGGGTCTTTCGGGAAAGCAGCCTCCCTCCCTGGACTGTGCCGGGTCACAGCCCACCGTGGACGGCACGGCCTGGACCCCCATCAGGTTAACCTCCAGTTGATCAAGATGACCTACCGCCCCGAGTCTTTATCATGTCTTCGAAGAGGTCACGTGTTCAAATTAATATTGTAAACGGTTTATTTCAGGTTGGGAATGGCAAGCACTGACTAGTCGGCAAGCGTACAGAGAAAACGACAGAGCGGCCATCGGGAGAGAGCGATCAATCCTACGGCACTTGCCCTGCGGGACTGCGGGCGGTGGAGGGTGTGTGCCAAGAGGGGACGCCGGTGGGAAGCTCTGGGAAGCCCAGCGTGAACTGCGGGCTCTCAGCGGCGCGGCCCACAGTGCAGTGATCACCTCAACAGCAGCAGGGCGGGTGCTGACATTGTAAAATCACGTCCTCTGGCATCTGCAGCGCCTCGCCTTCCGGGACTTCAGAACGGTTGCCAGAGACTGTTGCACACACATCCCCTGTGCGGGGCAGAAGCGAGGTCCAGGTGGGCGCTGCTCTCTCTCACCTGCATGCGTGCGTCCATTCGTCCCACCTGCAGTAGCAATACTGGCCAACGTTTGCTGAGCCTCACTAGGTCCTGAAAGTGCTCGGCGTGAGGTGCTCCACGTCACTCCCATGACGACGCTATGCGTACTCTCCAGCCTTCCTGTCTGCTGGACCTGACCTGCGGGAGCCCCCGACACACTGTGTGGGAGCCCCAGTCTCCTGAGGTCTCTGGGAGCTGGAAGGCAGGTTCAGGTGTCAGGGTCACCTGTGCTCCCACGTTCCACATGAGCACCCCTGTTCTGTGTTGCATCTTTCCAGATATCAAGGCAAAACTCTAAACCAACCCGTTCTCAGACCACTCAACTCAAGGCGTGGGCAGAGAGGGACAACGGGAAGGTTTGCACGCACAACACACCTTAAACTGAACATGAGGCATCTCCACGCTTCACCAGGTCCTTCTGCCAACACCACAGGACCTACCAGGAGCCCTTCTCCCTTAGCTGGTCTCCAGACAACCCCACATTACCCGACGCCTCTCCTTAGCTCTCCTCTAGCTCAGTGATGGCGAACCTTTTGAGCTCGGCGTGTCAGCATTTTGAAAAACCCTAACTTAACTCTGATGCCGTGTCACATATAGAAATTTTTTGATCTTTGCAACCATAGTAAAACAAAGACTTACATTTTTGATATTTATTTTATATATTTAAATGCCATTTAACAAAGAAAAATCAACCAAAAAAATGAGTTTGCGTGTCACCTCTGACACGTGTGTCATAGGTTCGCCATCACTGCTCTAGACTATTCTTCCCATTGTTGCTTCCCTTCCAAATCCCTTTAGAGTTCAAATACCTCCCTCCTCTTGCAGATCCCAGTGGTCTTCCGTCTTATGTTGGGCTTTTCCCTTCCACCCATCCATGCTGGATGCTGTTGTCTTTCCATACCATTGGCTGTTTGCTGTCTTCCCGCTGGCCTCAAGCCACTGGCCTCGCCATCTTACCTTTTTTCATCCATCCGTCCCACATTCACCCTCCATCCATCCACCCATCCATCCACCCACCCATCCATCCACCCATCCCACATTCATCCTCCATCCATCCATCCATCCATCCACCCATCCATCCACCTATCCATCCATCCTCCATCCATCCATCCATCTATCCATCCTTCCATCTACCCATCCATCCATCCTACATCCATTCATCCCACATCCATCCATCCATCCATCCATATATCCCCTATCCATCACCTGTTAATCATCTATCCATCCCTATCCATCCATGCATCCATCCATCCATCCATTATCCATCCATCCATCCCTATGTTCACTCTTTCTATCCAATTTCCATAGAAGGGTCTTCAAGGCCATCAATAACTGAGACACACACCACCTCCGACCTGGGTCTTTACTGTAACTCTCCCTCCTGAAAGGCCTGGCTTTGCTGAGCATACTCACTCACAGGCCCATCTTGCCATCTGACTGCCAACCCACTTTCCAAGCAGCCAGACACACCCCTCTCCTGGCGAGCAGCGAGCCCCCTTCGGGACGCCCCTCGCACCCTGCCCCTGTCAGACCAGCCTGAGGACAGGCCTCCAGGGGCCACTGTCTGAGTGAAGCCTCTGTGGGGCTGGTGTGCTGCCTGTGGCCCTACGTCTTGAAGATCCAACTCAGATGTTAGCTAACAAGACAACCGCACAGGGAGGTGATGAGGAGGTTTAGAGAAGCAAGAAAACAAACAAACAAATGCTACTGCTCCTGGGAGGGGCGGAAGGGGAGGCTGTACCTTGAAGGATGGATCCAGAGCCGTTGATGGAAATGTCCCTGAACCTTCTCTTCCTAACCCAGCCTGTGGCAGGTGAACGATCAGATACCACTGTTTACTCAGGAGATTGGTGGCCGCATGTCCACAGAGCCAGCCCAGTGTGTCGCACAGGCTCTCCTATCACCAGGCCAGCCACGAGCCTGGGCACCAGCCAGGAGCACGACCAGGTCTCCAGTGAGCAGAGGACACCGCGACAGAGTGGAGGTGGGTGTGG